ACAAAACTTATACACTAAAAATACAACTCTTAGTATATCCGTCTAAAAAAAAATTGTTCGTTCCATGAGGGATGAGGCCAATAATATATATTCTCAGCTATTTGATATAAACTGTCAGACTTGAGCATCAATAACCGGGCCAAATTAGCCCTGGGAGGAACGGGCCTTTCTAAAGGGCCAAACTTCCATGAGATCAGTGATATAACCCCGCGTCCGCTACGGATATTTATCAGAAGAATCCTGGACAGCCACATAGTCAATAAAGAAAAAAAACCCGAAATATTTCTAATATTAATACAATTTAAATGATCAAATTCTGAATAAACGTTTCTTGAGTGAAAAAAAGCCTGATACTCTTATATCTTTTATCTTCTGCCAAACCATAAGATAATGAATAAAACTTTGTGTTTTAGGTGTTATTAAATTAATAATTTGATTCGTTAAATAAAGGATGTCAGTCCGAAAACTATAATGGTTACAATGCGAACATTTATCTGCAGGTGGAATTTTGTAATTGTAAGTTATCATTTGGGATGATCACTAGATGATCGTTTCTCCGTTGGACCTGTTCTGTTAGATAGTCGAAGAGAAGAGAAATACACCCAGAGGGCTGTTATCTGTCTGCCTAGTGATGGATCAAGTGGCCAAAGTTACTGACAATCCTTAACGACAAGCCTCTTATCTAAGCTTTCCGACGGTAAATAAACGGGGCACTGACAAACTCCGACGATCCCTGTACCATTCCTTGTTAGGTGAAGCCAAAGGTGGATCTTTTATTTACAGGCACTTCTGCGACTTCATCGCGTGCTTATAATTTTCATGGTTGTCCATTTTTTTGTGTTTTGCACGACCCCTCGACCAGGCCGGGTACTTAATTATACTTCGACAGTCGATCGACCCCCTTAACACACAAATTCATTAAAACGCAAAAAAAGAAGGTCTATATAAACACGCATGAAGTAAATTACCCTAAAACAGGTAATTGAAACAACTTAATTTGCGGTCAGTTTTTAAGGAAATATTCAAATAAGATTGCTGCAGTTATCTACAGCGATGATCATGTCACAGATCATGTGTACGCGAACAAGTTAAACGGTTCTAATTGTCCTGCTGGTAATTTCGGAGCAGGAAAGATTGCATATCAACAAATATGCAAATTTTATAACGGCATTTAACGGACAGAAATAAATGAATACTTAGGCTTCCTATGTTAATACAAAGTTAATTGCTTAAAGGCTTTTCGTTTGCTAAGAAGATAAAGATTAGCCATTTTTATTATACAAATATATGTTTTTGTCTGATACTTTCATAGTAGCTTGTCAAGGATAGATGGGATTCTGATATGCACGAGGTGCCCGGAAATGATCAGTTTCCTTTTCCCAGCATTAGAATTTTTTGTGCCTAAAGGAAAAGAACGGTCATGTAGATATTCTGAACCGGTGTCGGAAGTGATGAAAGAAAATCACAAATGTAGTATAAAGTGCTGTAATGACTGAATCTTACATGCAAATCAATCATATTTTATAAAAAAACAAGATGATGACAAGAAAAAGAATAAAACGATTTACAACTTAGTCGTAATCGTTCATTATCCAGGACGGTTTGGTCTGTCATGTGGGTCATAAGCATAAAGAGAGAAGAAATAAGCAGACAGAGGTGATGACGACTAAACATGCAACATTGGCCCGACAAAAATCATTGGTAACGACCAAACTGTAGGTTCGTCACCCTCACAAAATAAACAGTATTGTCATCAAGCAGTTTGGACGTTCCGATAATTTTGATATGCCTAGACTCGCAGGTTTGGTTTGTCGAATTTTGTAAAAGGAAAGACCCATTCTGTATTGAGATGAAAAAAGAAGTTTGACAGATCAAACCTGCGAAACAACTAGACAGACCAAACTGATGGAAGACGACCAAACTGTAAGTTTTTCACCCGAAGACCATATGGGGAAATTTTGCAAGATAAACAATTGACATTTTCTTGTTTGGGCAACGCTTTCCAAACATTTTAGACTGACGAGTATCCCTAGTTTGGTCTGACTTTTTGCAGTCTAAGCACAGATTACGGGAGAAACCGAAATCCGTCTGAAGATGAAACCTGCGACATTTGGTACGCCTAAAGTGATCTAAAACGAACCAAATACAGGTTTCAACACCAAGCAGTTCCTATGAGGAAATTTCGAAGTAAGTACTTGATAGTCTATTATCCAAGCATACGCTACCATGCACGCTAATAAATACATTCGCTCCAAGTACGAATCTTAATTCAACTAACGTTTGCAAGCGAGATCAACATACATTTTATTATCGTCACTGCGGTTATAAAAAGTTTTTTTTTAAGTCTGCAGACTCCATGAGGAATTTCAGATTGATTTTTTATACTAAACATCTGTCAAACATCATTTATTTGATGAGGTGTTTTGATGTTTCTACTCATTAAAACTAAAATTTAGCTTTCTTCTTTTTATCGGCCATTGACTTCTCATGTTTTGTTTTTATCGCATTTTGTAATGCTTGAAGTCATTTAAAGTATATATTCATACCATTAAAACGATAACCTAATCTAGGCTTAGCGGTACTTAAGAGTTTTCGATGTACGGCTGAAATTCCATCTACGCTAAAATTATGTACAACCTGAACTAATATCGGCAACGTGTTTTTCACCTTGACGTCGTCCAAACAATCGCGCATGTAAATACATTTATATAGAATAACATTCAGACATTTACAATACTACTTTACCTAACTAGTTTGACAGTCTCTCAGAACTCCTTGAATAAATGTATGTGTCTCCTTGAAATACTTGAATCACCCTTTTGAATAAATACTATCGGGTAGTCATCAGGGTTTTGATAAGACACCAGACATAAGACAGTATCCCTCTACAACTAAATAGCCTTCACTACTTTGTTGTGTCTATGAGTACTCGATATTCTATTACGCTACCACTCCCCAACATTCACCCAAATAAATTAATTCGTTTAAATTGACGTTTGGAACATACATACGACCAACTACGTCAGGTGATAAACTTCTTACTATAATCTGTACTGTGCCTTGAAAGTTTTTTAAAATCTGCGGGCACGCTACTCCTTACACCTTACAACACTGCCGTTTGTTATAGAAAATTGCGTTGAAACCGTAAGAAAATGTTTATGATATTTAGGTCAACTTTTTATGAATATGGTGTTAATTTATAACTTTCAATTAATTAAGGTTATTAGTTGAGATACAAAAGTCTGTGTCACGAGCGGGATAGCGGGGAACGAGGGAAAATTCAAAAGGTGGGGTTGAGATAAGAAGTTAGTGTCCGAGTGGATCGAGGTCAAGTCGTAGAGAAGCGGCGTATTTAGGATATTTATATCCTACATGTATTTGCTAAATTTAAAGAAAGTTTGTAAATCCCAGGCCCTGAAGATGATATCAATAAAGATCAAAACGTTGGCACGATAAAAAAAATGTTTTTCTGAAATCGACATCACACCAGACCGCATCTCACGATTTCTGAATAATTATCGCCTAACAGTCACTAATACCACACATTTCTAGTGAATTTAATTTATAACGTTCTTTACTTATGGAAATAGTTTATACGTCGGATGGCCACCTTTAAAAAGATGAGATTTTGAAAATTTGAGCAACTGATTTAGAGCTAGTCAATGAACTATCCGATTGCGTTTGCCATAAATTTAAAAACAATTAATATGTGCTCTTTTCCTCAAAACACACATAATTGAGTCCGTCGTTTTTACTTTATATTTATTACCAAATTTGAAAGGTTATAAGTATATTTATCAAATTAGCATAATAACTTATTTTTGAGTGTATTTAAGCTGCATGTAAACTAGTAACATTTAGGATCGAACTTGGAAATGTAGAAAGGTCTGTAATTAATGAAGTCTTCCTTGATTGATGATGTAGATTATGTAAACGTCGCAGGCAAACCCCTCTGCCCGTTCTTATGCACTTCCCTCCCCCCTTTGTGTTGTTGAATACGAGTTAAGGGTGGAAACCCCCATTCCAGACTTCATACACTGTAGAATCAAAGGAAAAGGAGAAATTTCTGCGATTTTTAGTACGGTTCGTCTATTTTTCAAACAGTATGAAACCGAACAGACCTCTGGGTAACTAGGGGCTAGCCAATTTTCTTTCGAGTCATGTCTTCAGGGTAGACTGGTTATATGTAGCCTACCTTGAAATTAATTTAATTAAATTAAACAAGGGCGCTCGATGCTCATCACAGGTTCAATATCGTCTCTCAATTAATTCATTCGGGTATGAAAAACAGGGTGTTTTTAATAATTATCCGGGTGGAGGAAATTGGCAGTTTAATTATATAATAACAATCATATTGTTAATAATTAATATTTGATTAAAAGAGATTCAATTTAATTTATATATTGAAATATAAAAAGAAATAAAAAAAAAGTGGTACGGTTGAGTGATTTTTTTTTATGCTTTATGTGTAGCTTTAGTGATTAATTAATTAGCCATATTTTTTGAAGTGTTGATACTTTTAATTGAAAATATACCTGAAAGAATAAGAGAAAAATGTTAATTTATGGATTATTATTATTATTATTTTTTATTGGCGGGCTACTGACAATATAGTCATATATATATAGCAATGTGATGGGTACTCGATATTCCATCAGACTTCTTTCTCATTCACACAAACAAACAACACTATACAGAAACAAACTAATGTACATACTTACTGTACAGTTACACAATATATTAACAATCCTTGTTTCCCTTAAAAATCGAAACAGGAAACCCAGCACCCACTCTCATCCCCAAGGACTGTCTTTATGCCGGGTGCCATTTCTTCTCGCTCCTTGTAAGAAGCCTCGACCAAATGTGACACAATGAGCAACCGTTCTTTACAAGCTGACACTTGCACGGAGTTGCCCAAAAGCAGGTGTCCGTGTGTCAGTCGGGTATGGCCTATCCTCAAACGTGTGAGCAAACAACACATCCTCGGACGATCATTCATGATTATAATTCTTCTTTCTGAGCTTTGCTTTCTTCCTGAAACTGTTTGGTATGTTTTCCATAGTACGTCTTCCCTTCTATCATAACTTCTTTGCATTCAGGCTGTTGGACCAGGAAATCCTTGCCATCCCAGGCCTGCGATCCATCCTTGTACATGAATATAACACGATTGTCTTCGATGACGTACCTTTCCGCCTGGATGTGGTTGTTGTGCAAGCTGCCCTGCCACAGCTTGGTCAGCTGATCGGTCCTGTCACGGTCCGTGTCACCATCGACTATGACGAACGACATCACCGTCTGGCCCTTTTTAACCATCTTTTGCAGGTTCTCCGGGTCGATGCCTTGTATATTATTCATATCTATCTTCGGTTGAGGTCGCAAGTGTTCTGGGAGTTCATCAGGCTCCAAGGGTTCTTCGTCTTCCTCCCACTGGTCCAGCAACCGTTCCATGTCGGCATCTGTAAAGTCTGTAATGTCCTTTTTAGCCCATTCTGGTTTTTCTTTGGGCTTTTTGGCCAGGCAAGGACCGAGGAGGACGGCGAACAGGCAAACCGACACAGCTAAGTTTTTCATTTCGCTATTTTTCTTACTTTTAAACGGGAAAAAGACAAAAACTGTATTATTATTCTTCTTTCCGGCGATTACAATAAGTTAACGGATGACAACGAGCCGCGAGGTTGCAGGTTCTGCGATCATTCATACTGCCAAAGTTCTTTTACTTAACGCTTTACTGTTCATACAGCGGATCGCTGTCGTTCTGTCAGGAGGGCAAGACGTCCCTGCTTTCGCCATGTCTTTGTTGCCCTTCAGCCTAACCTGTCCGGGTACCCGAGAGAGACGACTTCACCGTTTATCCGAAGCTCCGACTCAATATATGTCCCTAATAAGAGCATGAAGAGGTTTCATCGATAATCACGAATAGCAAAACTTTTTCTATAAAATCTTAAAATTCGATCAGAAATAACAGTTTCTTAATAATCAATAAATTGTTAAATCACCTCGGGTCATTCACTCTCTCAAGATCACAAATCATTGAGCTGTTGAATGGTTCGGATCTCCGGGCTCTCTTACGGTTTGCTCACCACGCCTGGAAGTACAGATACCATTTGGTCCAGGAATTTAATTTTTAAATTCGTTTACCCATTTCCTTAATTAAATACCATAATTAAAGAAAAAAGTTAAAGATCTGGATGAGAAATTCATTACTTTTCTATGTATTTATTTACTTATCTCCGTATGTACTTATCTTATTACTTCTATGTACTTATCAATGTATTTATTTATATTATTTTTACGTTCTACAATTAATGCATATATATCCACAGTTTTATATTTAATTGTCAATTTACAACGTTCTCCGACGACAGACGGATTTAATTCCATGTTTTGTATATATTTTTAATTATAAGTTTCATGATGTGCTCAAAATTGTAAAATAAAGTATTTTTATATACTTTATAAAGTATAAAGTATATAAAAAATTTGTTAAATCATACCTACTAATTGAAATTTATTATAATTGAAGTTTATTGTCGAAATATTGACCCTAAGTTTACGTCTGAGGAAACTTGTAACATGGTAATAAGAACGTCGTCTTTTCAGTCACGGAAGGAATATCGTAAAAAAATAACATAAATCACTTGAAAAACAATGGCACAATAAATATTATGTAATGTGCAATTTACAAGTAGTTGTACTGACAACTGCTTATAAACATGTTTCGTACTTAATTAAGATTTTCTAGATTTAAAATATCGAAAAATCGATAAAAACGTTTTTTAGCCATTAAAAACCATTTAAATTTGGTAAAAATATGTTCAACTCTTAAAGCAAACCTCTTTAGGTTAACATTAATTTTTTATTGATTTATATTATTGATTCATTACATTTTTTTAACGACCAAACCTGCGAGAATAGGCAAGCCAAAATTATCGAAATTAACTGCTAGATGACAATATCTTTTATTTTCTTGGGTTAACGAAGTTTGGTCGGCGCTGTCTTGCGTGTTTAGTCGGGCGCGTTTCGGCATTTCGTCATCTTCACTGCTGGCTTTTCTGTCGTAACTCAGCCTGCTTAATCCCCTAACCCACGCGAAAACCCGAAGTGCATCTGACAGACCAAACCAGCCAGGGTAATGAACGGTAACGACCCAACTATAAATTGTTATCGTCTTCTTTCTGCCATAAATATGATTGATATGCATTTTAGCCTTTTATACTACACCGGTGATTTTCTTTCATTATTTCACTGGCTTAGAATGTCTTCATGACCGTTTTCCTTCGGGCAGAAAAAATTCAAATGCTGAGAAACGGAAACTGTTCATTTCCGGTCACTACAATATACAATAACAGATTTCCATCTATCTTTGATGAACGTAACATAAAAAAGCTATATTTGTATAATAAAAATGGATAATCTATATTTTCTTAGCAATAGTTAAACCAATTAACTTTCGATTAACATAGGAAGACTGAATAAACAAAAAGGATATTCATGATGATTGTAAGATGTTAACTCGTGTTAACTCGAATAGAGAAATGTCCAGTAAGATCATGAACACCCCCTTCTTTTCTTAGCATGTTAAACGTTAATTTGCTGCGCGTTGAGATTGGTAGAACCAAAAATAAAGCTATAACAGTCCTTGAAGGCTTGTTGTTGTTTAGTTTGGTTTTCTTTTGTGATAAATTGGCAACTCATTCAGAATGCTATCTATGTACGAAAGTACTAACAAATGACACGCTTCAATGCGTGCCGACATACCGAACTTTCATCCTAAGGTCTAACATCCTACAACTTTATAGGATATAGAACGTATCTACTATGAATGAGAGTATAAGGGCAGGTCAGAAATTAACAAAAGAAATGTATTGGTCTGATTTAATTAATACGTATTTAAAAACAAATATACACGTAAACGAAAAACAGCTGTTATATTCATGGCTGCCATGTTGGTTACCTTAGCCCTAACGGAAAGCAATGTGACTACATTTTAGACCTAACATCTAGCATTGTCCCTGGCCTGTTAGATCGAGCAACATTAACTAGCCGATTCTTACAAGTCTACGTCACCATTTTTCTCGATCTAACAGGACTTAACAGAGTTAACAGGGTTAACACAAAGATCGTGAATACCCCTATATTCTTCTGTCCATTGAACGACGTTATAAAAGCATTTTTTAAATTTTTATTATTTTTTTTTATTTATGAGCGTTTGGAAAATTTGAAGTGAATTTAAGAAGTTGCACCATCATACGCTGTAAGTTGTAACTTTTGATTTGTCTCAAAAGGAGGCTGTTTTCAATTAATATGATTCCAGTACAGAAGAAGACTTAAAATGTTCCATAATGTTATCAACTGATTCCATATTCTTTGTATTAATTTGTTTTCCCTTCAAAAATTTTCCGTGTCGTTTTACGTTGATAAAATTGTTAAAATATTTAAATAAAATAATCAAAGGGTCTAGTAATGACCCTACCGAGGTGTCAGCATAAAACCAAGGATAATTTATTGGTTCGGAGTTAATTTCTATTACTTGAAAGTAGCCTTGAGGCCGAAATGAACCGGTTTGATCAACATAACAACTAGATGGAAGGGAATGAAAAGCTTACTCGGAATTTATTGCTTTCTTACGGTTTAAACACGAAATGATTATAATAAAAAACAAGTTTTTCACGTAATTATCCTCGTTGTACTTACACTTCTTTCGATGTCGGTTGTATTTCACTACTCCGTAGAAGGTCAGGCTGTTAATTTTATAATTTTATTTGAAAAAACGCGGTTATTTAGTGTTTGTATTGATTGAAATGTCGAGGGGGGAACGTAAACATGTCGGTTCGCTCCATCCGGTTAAACGGAATGATTTCCGATGGAATCTATTTACAACCAAATTCAACTGGACATTCAGCGAGACGCGGGTTGGACATCGCGACTGTCAAATCGCCCGATTACGCAAAAACGTCTGCAAGTGTGGTCTTCGCATCGAGCTGGGAAATTAATTGGAACGTATTTCGATTTAGTTCGAGACGCCTTTAAAGGGCAACGGTCTCGGTCCGGCCACAATAAACAACTCAATTAAAATGTCGACAGTGGATAGGGATCTCACAGAGTGGCCGGCCCTTAATAACCCAATTCGGCAGAAATATTGCCCGGCCCCAATTAAGACATCTTCCCGAGCAGTGGGTAGGATGAAGGATATTGTCTTTTCCGTCGCCCTGCCTCATTAGGGACTTTTCGAGGGTTGGAAGTTTGGTCAAACTGGAAGTTTAGCCGGTCCTTAATCAGTTAAAAAAGTTTCGGTCCATCAGGCCATGCCGGTCCTTCTTCAAACTCTAACATCAATATCCGAAAAATCTGTAAACGGTATTACATTACAGGCGAGAAGATATTTCCCTATTTAAAAAAAAAGTTGGAAGCAGTTCGGGTAGAAGCGATGAACCACCTAGGAACAACCATTATCTATCTCGAGCACCCAACTTTACTACCAACCAAATTCCTTATCTTATTGACACACATTATATGGTTTACATAGAAATGTTGTTATACAACAACACCACTAAATTAACGATAAAAGGCAAACATGTGATATTATAATCTGGAAAATATTCTAAGGATCGAAATTCAAAGCACTAGATTGGAGCTCGATTGAGTTTAATAGAAATAATAAATAAATAATTTAATTTCTTATCACGGTATGCTATCTTTCTTGGGTTCACCTTATATAATGGTTAGTTGAGGTGTTTTTTAGCCAGAAACTACCAATTCCCTGCAGAGTGCAATATGAAAGGTCATAATTTAATTTCAATGTACTTTTTTTGTAGTTTTAGGGCCGCAAACTACATTTGTCATTGCCAGCCCGCTCTTTCTTAGGTTTGTATTTCTTTTCTTATCTTTGCCCGAGTTTTAAACCTGGAAATTTCTTTTACTCTTTTTCCAGCCAAGTTATTATATTTTATAATACAACGGTAAGGGACTCTCTCTTTTATTTATCTTATTGCTCTACCTCAGGGCCTAGTCAAGTGTCGATAAAATAACCAAATATCAAATACACTACAAAAACACCGAGACAGATAAAACATGATAATCTGGTTACTATTTACCCAGAATATTCGATATTCTTCGGGGTAATTGTGCATAAAACTGCCATTCGCGCTTATAAATTATATTCACACTACTCTTGATTACTCGATATTCCTCGGGGTAATTAAACCCCTTCATTCAAACTAATAAATTAGTCCATTTATGTTTAGTGGTCATAATTAATTAATCTGTTTTTTTAAGGTCTGGTTGAGGTGAAAATGTTAGTGTTACGAGCGGGATTCGAACACACGGCGTAGAAAAGAATAGCAGAGAGCGAGAAAAGCAACTAGAAAAGTGAAAGAATAATTAATTGAAATAATTAACACGGTCAATTTTGCTCGCTAAACATACATAGATTAAGATAATAACTAAAGAGGTAATCACTTCGCTAACAGCTAACTTCGTAAGTCCCTGAGAATCGAATCTTGATTACACATTTGAAAAATGGCAAAAAGTGGAAAAATTTGAAAGGTTGCAGGATAAGGTGGATAGTTGGTGTTCGAGAGGATCGAAGTCACGATACATCATGTGGTAGAGAAGCGGCGTATTAAGCGGAAGGTCGTGGGTTCGAATCCCGCTTGTGACACTTTCATCTTAACTAAGATAAA